CACCGCGCAGCGCACAGGGTCGGTGCGCCGCAAGTATGGTTTCTTCAGAATATGTGCGATGGCGGACAAAACAATTGGAAGCCAAGAAGGCTGCACCTGAGGGCACAAACAACGACCACAGCACTGCRTCACCAACACCGATGAACAAAGACCTCGCAACAGTTTCATCTCCGCCACCTGCTCCTCATCCCGTCCGACGCCTTCTCTTCTTGCCACCGACTCGGCCACCTTTTCTGCTTACCCCCATCAATACCCACGTCACCTCTTCCCTTCCTGCAACTGAAGCTCCTCTTCCGCTCTCCACAGACACTAACTGGCTGACACAATTGGAGGGGATTTCTCCGCACAATGTTATTGAAACGCTCACGTCGATTGATTCCAATCACAGGTTGCAGAAGATAAGTGTGGTGCTGGCTACAAAGAATCAGAACAGCAACAAATGGACTGCACTCGAAGCCATGCTCTACGTCGACTACTATCGCCAAGGCCATGACGAAGTCACGACTTTTGAGGATTACAAGACCGCTGCAGCRTCCTACATTGCACTCCATGAGAAACTGCGCGGTTCCTCAGTTGTCAAAGCATTTCCGTGASATTGTCGTCAATGTCCATCATATTATGAATACATTCTGTGCGTACAACTGCCCGCATTCGAGTTTGGGTGCATGCCAAGCTTGGCCGCATTTGGTTGGGTTCACCGACAATCTGCGCAACACCTGCAATGATGCAGGCATAGTGAACTGTACACGTTCTAGGAGCCGGCTACCTACCTATATAGTACGAAAGAGCCATGCACAAGGCAACATGCACATCCAACCTACGGGTTGAATAAATGGGACATCAGTGCATCACAGAGGTAGACGATCAGAGTTGTTCAGACATGCGCAGACTTTGACAGGGTGGACAGAACACCTGCTCATTTTCGATTTTATGTCAATTCTGAGCATGTGAAGTTGTCCTTTTGGATGTCCTTCACCTCTGTCATTGTCCTATCTCGAGCTGTTTCCCTCTGCTTCCTATTCCAACTTGCCGGTGGACACGGATTGTCTTGACTCATTTACTTATCATTGGTGAATTTGAATGCACGAAATGTGACACCTCTGCTCGTTCCCATTTCTCATATATACGTTAATGTGAATGCACTATGAACGCACTGAAAGAACTCAATCCGTTCTTCGATGACTATGGTAATCCTACTGCATAATTCTTAGACTTTATTGCCACGGAAATGTGCTCTCCATTGCCAAGTGGAYCTAMCACTTCTCGTCACCCATGATGTTCATGCCACGCTGTGGAACCTTTCACTTATATCTTACCTGCTTCGCCTTTATCCATTAACTATTCATTGTCCTGTCTTCAAATGTCAATGCAACCGACAACAATATTCAGTACAAGTAAAACACGCGGGCGAAGCTGCACTGGCCACATCTTGTGGAGGTTTATTTTTTTATCGAAGCAAGACTCAGTTTTGAATTTTACCATTGTGTGCCGCAGGAGGTAATGGTGACTTGATGTGTCTAAAACAAAATTGGATTCAGAGAAGACTGAGATAGGATGGCTATGGTTTTTGTGGTCGGTGTCGGATGCGTTCGGTGTTGGTGGCAGGTCCGTGAGATTGTGGACATGATGCTGAATGAGACGAAAGGACGGCTTGCTGCAAAAGGTATAGCCTTGGAAGTCACGGAGGCTGCGCTGGTTCGGATTTGCAACGAGGGATACGACCGTGCCTATGGTGCAAGGCCGCTTCGACGGGCACTCGTCCGTCTGGTCGAAGATCCTCTTAGTGAGGCTATCCTTGCTGGAAAGTACGACGAAGGCGACACCGCGTTGGTCGATATTAACGACGATGGAACCACGGTTATCACTCAGTATCATCGACCAGACCCCTGCAAAGACAAGGTATGCCTGCCCGTGGTGAAACCCATTGAAAGAATTACGGCAGTTTCGGACTGATGGGCAAGCTGACGAAGCTCTCGCGTATAGTTTTTGTTTTGTTCGTTCAAACAAAAACTGATTGACCAGACGAAGAACCGCTTGCTGCGTCGCAGAAACCGTTGCGCGGATTCGTCTACTATACCATGGGTTGAGCCATGGTTTTCAGCTCTTTTCCTGTATTGTGTCTGTAATACTCTGTATGCTATAGCGACAAGGACGTCCTAGGAGTAAGCTGTATGGCGATCCGTGGATGGCCCCTGTTGCAGCAAACCCATGGTTCAAGCCATGGTATAGTGAATGTACTTGGCTTGCACGCTAGGTCCATGTTCATTATCCTGCTCTCTCGTTTTCGTCCGTGCAGTTGGGCGGACGGGATTCTATGGTGCAATGCCATTTGCACAAGAAGATCAGCGCATGAGATGAGAGTGACGGTGGCAGCAGGTTGATGGTACGGGGTCGATGGCGAGGGGTAAACAACTCCATTTCTATTGGATCCAGTATGGATCAGGAGACGGTAGTGCTGTTTCCCTTTGGCATGCTGCGGATGAAGAAATGCCAAAAGGCCATGCTGGAAGCTTAACGGAAGGTAACGGAAGCGGAGCTTTCCAACGGCCAACTTTGCTTGTCGCCTCCTCATTCCACTTTTGTGCGACAATGACACGTCTTCAATATCGCTTCACCCTCCATCGATGGGTTGGTTGCCTCTGAGCAGATCACAACGTGGTGAGCGATTCTCTCTTCGGCCCCATCCCGCAATCGAGGAGATGCAAAAATAGGCGAAAAGTTAAATCAAAATCAAATAACATGATCTAGTTGGTAACTCTGCAGAGATGATCTCTTTGCATGCATGTTTTCGTAAAAGGCGGCGCGGCAAAGTCGTGTGGCCTCTTTGTACATCGAAAGCGCAGTGCTTATAGGCGACAAGTCGCGTGGCCTCGATTTCGACAAGAGGTCTGATTCACACCCGC